GCAGAACAACAAAAGTAATTCCGATGTCCACCAAACCTACCATTGTCTGCAGGACGTACTACGGGAACTAGCAGAAGCTCTCGTCGACCTCGCAGACCCAAAGACAAGAACGGTAGAAGTGGAAGCACGACGAAATAGGATCCGCAAGTTCAAGGGAGAAAGAGGGGAAGATCCATATCCGTGGCTGGAGTGGTACGAGGAGGTTGCGAAAACCAACAACTGGACGAGCGACGAAAAATTAGAGCAGGTATCTTATTACCTGAAGGGACGCGCGGCGGACTGGTACGAAGTCTGCCAAAATCGCTTCTGCTATTGGAATATTAGAAGCGAGCGCAAGAGAAGTTTCGTGCCAGCCTTCCTCCGATGCTTTGTAACGCTTGAGCAGCGACGGCAGTGGCTGTCAGAGCTCGCGAAACTAAAGCAAGGCAAGGATGAGAAAGTTGCAACCTATGCCCAACAATTTCAGGATCTGATAAGAAGAATCGACACCGACGATAGCAAACCGGGAAGGGATGAGGTGAGAGCGTTCGTAAGAGGGTTGAGAAAGGAGGTTGCATCAGCGCTTTCCATCAAGAACGACGCCACGTTAGATGAAGTGATAGATGGCGCGGAACGGATCGAAAAGGAAATGGAGTTTGGGTTGAATAAGATGAGCCCGAAGCCAATGGAGAGACGAAGACCAGCAATGATCGAGAACGAGGCCAAAATTTGCAAAGTAGGATCCCGGAAAGAACGAAAATACTTACCCAACGATGACGTGAACAATGACACACTCTCACCCATTGGAAATATGCGGACACCATTCAGCGAATCCGGCAACGAAAAACAAGATGTGGACGGTAAATCAACAAAGGACGACGAAAGAACCGGCGAAGCCCAAGCTGCAAATAAACTGAACGCGGAGCCTAGAGGACAAGGGCGAAATGGGACGAAGAAGGGATCAAAAGGGATGCCCGGTAAGGAAGGAACGATGATGAAGGAGAAACACGACATCATACCAATAGAGGGACATTTGGTGATCAACGAAAGGGAGTTACAATCAAGGGATAAACCGCTAAAAAAGGAGAACGTGATAATTAGTATCGGAATGGTGAAAAGAATAAGGATTAAGGGTTGGGACACTTTCGCGCAACCTGATCGGGAATCGGAATGCACAAAGGAAGCGCGACGCACGATCAGTAATGATACCATAATCAAGCAAAACGAATTAAGTCTGGCCAAGGCGCGGGGGAGTTATTCATCAAAAAAGTAGCATGCACCACCATAAGGGAAGCTCGTACGTGGGACAAGACAGATAAAACATACAGCCTACTCGCGACGTACCAGCTACCCGTAAACATACTGCTACGTGAGTCCTATTACAATATGCTCCGACATCTTTGAGAGATCGGTACTACGCACTGTGGTCGTAATAAATAAAACGATCCCCATAAGGAAAGGAATTTATGAAATGAACCCGCCTAGTCCCATGAATTCGGTATGCTTACCTTGGGTTACTGATTTGTTGACCGAAAGTCAAAGAAAGAAAAGGAGTGATGTCAAACGAATACGTAAGGAACCGGCACACGTGTCTATAAGGAAAATATATGCGGGTGATATCAAAATGGATGGATCGCACAATTTACCCGTGCTATATCAGCAACTCGTGGATATACTTTGTCGCGACCTGGTGTTAGAGCTTGATGTCGAAATGTCGCCTAAGAGAAAGATCAAGAGGATCCGCATATCACGTGACACAGGCGAGATTTCACCAACCGATACCCCGCCACCAATAATAACCGAAAAATGATACGAATTCTGGTGAGAATCGGATTCCGAATTCAGTCGTATGCACGGTGCGCATAAGATAGGCGCGGGGGAAATGTTATGGGTAAAATCGGCACAGGCATGTAACGCGATATCACGTTACGTCATCCTGTTGTCGTGATCCATGGGGGAATTAAGGTGGGAAAATAGGTGTGGGAAAGTTTAGTGACGGAAATTTCTAGATTAATGTAGAATAGCGATCGGATGTAAACATGTAAATAACAGGCGCATGTATAAATACATGCGCCATTCAGTAGCATGTAAGAGAAGAGAGTTTTTGGAGGAACGCATTAAGTAATAAACAATAAAGTAACGTTGTAAATAAACTCTTACCTTGTGTT